AAATGTTTCTTGAGCAGCAAATCAGCATATTATACTGATTTCTGAAGATCATGTGACACTGAAGACTGGAGTAATGATGCTGAAAATACAGCTTTGATCACAGAAATAAATTACATTTTTACAGATATTCACATAGAAAACAGAGATTGTTTACCAGGTTTTAGTCACTATATCATTCCCCTAGTTTTATTTGTGTTATTTCATAGCTTTTATGAAGAAAAGAGTCATAATGAGTAGATGTGACTCAACTCTTGTGATTATTAATGACAGAAGCACAGGACTGACGTGACTTACCATACTTCTTGCGGATTTCATCATGTTTCCCCTTCCTCTCCGCCTTCCTGCAACAGACAGTAACCAGAGATGAGTGACGGCTTTTTACAGACTGGACGGGATTATATAGATTTTTGAAACAAAATATTGAATTTCTGTGCCATTTGCATCATTTGAGCTGTATTTTTTTGCAGAGACTTGGAAGAAACTAGGTAAATTAGACTGATGGACAGATTATGTGACCATGCATGAAATAATACAGTGATTGATTGACTGTTTATAATTATAGTGTTTATATTTTCTTAATATTATTCATGTTGAAAAAAGAGTGAAAAATATATCTTGCATTTTTTTCTCGCAATTCTGACTTTTTTTTTAACAATTCTGACTTTTTTCTTAGAGCTTTGCTTTTTATATCTCACAATTTTGATTTTTTTTTTCTCGCAATTATGACTTTTTTCTCACAAATCTGAATTTTTTCTTAGATCTTTGTGTTTACACCTCACAATTCTGACTTTTATTTGTAGAGTTTTACATTTACATCTCGCAATTCTGACTTTTTTCTCACAATTCGGACTTTTTTTGTGGAGTTTTGTGCTGACATCTCGCAATTCTGGCTTTTTCACAGAGTTTTGCGTTTACATCTCGCAATTCTGACTTTTTCACAGAGTTTTGCGTTTACATCTCACAAATTCTGACTTTTTTCGTGGAGTTTTACGTTTACATGTCACAATACTGACTTTTTTCATAGTTTTGCGTTTACAGAAAAAAGTCAGAATTGTTAAAAAAAAGTTAGAATTGCGAGATGTAAACGCAAAACTCTATGAAAATAGTCAGAATTGAGAGATAAAAATGCAAGATATATTTTTCACTCTTTTTTCAACATGAATAATATTAACAAAATATAAACACTATAATTATAAACAGTCAATCAATCACTGTATTATTTCATGCATGGTCACATAATCTGTCCATCAGTCTAATTTACCTAGTTTCTTCCAAGTATTTTCGTAGAGTTTTGCGTTTACATCTCACAATTCTGACTATTTTCGCAGAATTTTACATTTACATCTCGCAATTCTGACTATTTTCGTAGAGTTTTGCTTTTTATATCTTGCATTTCTGATTTTTTTTCTCAGAATCAGGGCCGTTTCTAGGCATAGGTGAGCTAGGCGGTCGTCTAGGGCGCCACCAGCTGAAGGGACGCCAATGAGCGCACGTACTGGCACTTTTAGCAGGGTTGTGATAAAGAGTGGCACGGTCACCCTGAAATATGACTGCCGCCCCCACTGGATCCCCCAACATTATTGGGCTAGAGTACTGCCAATCTGACGATGCCTGTATGCCACTAGATCAGAGTGCTGTCAATAGCTGCCTGATTGTTGCACGCAAAGTTTGCATTTGGAGCGCTCAACAACGCCGTTAGATCAGTGGGCTGTCAGTGCTTTGGCAAGGTAACACTTTTTTTTTGCCATGCAATAAAGCTAAGTTCAAAGGCCAATTTAAAATATTGGTACAGTAAATAAAGTGCACAAAATCAGTATTTTGTTTAGGCAGTATTTGTGGCACTTTTGTGGCACATTTGTCCAAATATTTGTGGCAGATTTCACGTTCACGTTATTTAAAGGGGAAGTTGACGCGTTAACAGTGTCGTTACTATGACAACCAATTTGAATGTGAAAAGCAACTGGTGTCTGAAAATTATATATATATATATATATATAGGGCAATAGGGATTATCAGTCAAATTGGCTAGAAACGGCCCTGCTCAGAATTCTAATGTTTTGCCCAATACAAATTCTGAATCCTGTAAAACCAGTACAAGAAGAACAAATCAAACTCATAGCCTGGATTCAATTTCCGCAACCAAAGCTGCTCAACTGAAAACTGGCCAAGTCCTGAAGAGCAGCACATGGGCGGCAGTAGATGATTCACAGTGAGTTCATGTCTTTGTTTAAGGCCCTCCATTCCTTCACAGGCTCGTCGTAAATACGAGCAGCAGTGTTTTATGGGTGTGTGACATACGAGCGGCGCTGAACGACACCAATCGCTCGCCGTGCATCATTCATCCTCTCTACAGCACACAATGAAGATGGGCCGAGCCTCCAGACGAACTGCGGCCGCTTCATACCAAATAAATCAGCCGGAGCTTTATGAGCAGCTGATCTGTGAACAATCACTGGAGCTGTTAGCCATCTGTTGCTGCTTCCACAATCCTGAACAAAGCAGCACAACAATAACTCCACCGGCTAGTGTTTTACACGTGTATCTGTTACAGATCAGGTTTCTGCATTAAGCTGGAATGCTAAACGCTTAGATCAACAGCGAATAAAACTAATCTTTATTAGAGGACTAAGTTTCACTAATGTTAAAAAGTTTGGGGTCGGCAAGATTTTTAATGCTTTTGAAAGTCTCTTCTGCTCACCAATGCTGCATTTTTTTTATCAAGAATACTATAAAAATTGTGAAATATTATTACAATTTAGAATAGCTGTTTTCTATGTGAATATCTGTTAAAATGTAATTTATTTCTGTGATGCGCAGCTGTATTTTCAGCATCATTACTCCAGTCTTCAGTGTCACATGATCTTCAGAAATCATTCTAATATGCTGATTTGCTGCTCGAGAAACATTTCTGATTATTATCAATGTTGAAAACAGTTGTGCTGCACAATATTTTTGTGGAAACGGTGATGCATTTTATTTTTCAAGATTCACAGATGAATAGAAAGTTCAGAAGAACAGCATTTATTTCAAATAGAAATCTTATTATAAATGTCTATAACTGTCACTTTTGATCAATTCAATAAATCCTTGAGGAATAAAAATATTATTTTCTTTAAAAAATTTAACGAAATCTTACTGACCCCAAACTTTTGAATGGAAGTGTATATTTAAACAGCACATAAAGGTACAATTTACACAATCAACATGAAACACCAGTCGCAACTCATTTTACTTACACAATATGACATATTTTTGAGTGCAAAGGATATTAAAAGAGAAAAATAATGTACGTTTGATATTAATAATATTAACTGATGCAACTTTTGATTGTAAATATGTATTAGTTAATGTTGGATTTAAAAAAAGTTTAATAAATGTTTTTAAAGTATTTATCATTGTTAGCTCATGTTAACTTTAACTAAATTTAAAATAAATTACAGAAATAAAAAACAGAAAATATATAAAAACGAATTAAAAATATTAATAAATAATATATAGACATAATAAAGAGGACAAAAATACTATAAATAAATTATATATTTTCTGTTTTTGTAAATAAAAACTGAAAATATAAAAAAACTAATTCAAAATATTAATAAATAATATATAGACATAATAAAGATGACAAAAAATACTAAAACTAAATTGAAAATAAAAACAGAAAATATATAAAAATGAATTCAAAACTAATAAATAATTTATAGACATAATAAAGTTAATTAATAATAATATTAACTATATATTAATCTTAGTTCATTAAAATGAACTAAGATGAATAAATGCTATATTAAAGTATTTTTAATTATTAGTTCATGTTAACTAATGCAGTTAACTAATGTTAACAAAGGGAACCTTATTGTAAAGTGTTACGAAACTATCATAGAACTAACCACTGCTAACAAACCCTGTTTCTGTGTCAATATTTCAATTCTTCTTAAACAAAAAAAATATCCATTTACTAAATATTCTCTCCATATATGTTCAAGGACATCAGAATGCACTGTGCTCATCATTCAACACGATACACACTATAGAAGCCCATCAGGCTGTTCTTTGCTGTGACAGATGTAAAATACTGAACATAAGCACATTCGTATATCAGATGCATCGCACACGATCGGCCAAGACCCTGCAGAGATATCTGATCTCGGTTTATCTGAGTTCAAAAGGAGATTCCAGCTCCCCCTCGAGTGTCTGACACAGAAGTGACCTTGTTAGTGCAGCACAGCTGCTGAAAGCCCTACAGATATATTTACACTCAACACATGTAATCATGAAAGCACTGAGACACTCATTACGTGACCAAATCCGCTTCAGATCAACAGGTGCTTGACAAAAACCTTCAACTGTGACACGACGGGATTAAATGCAACCAAACCACACAATGAAAAGCTGGCTACATTCACAAAGTATTTGCAGTATTAAAGGAATGTTTTAGCCAAAAATTAAAATGTGCTGATAATTTACATCTGAGATCAGGATGAGTTTGTTTCTTCATCAGATTTGGAGAAATGTAGCATTGCATCAGTTGCTCTGCAGTGAATGGGTGCCGTCAGAACGAGAGCTGATAAAAACATCACAATATTCCACAGCACTCCAGTCCATCAGTTGACATCTGGAGAAGACAAAAGCTGAAACAAACCCAGCATTAAGACGTTTTCAACTAAAATACATAGAGTCCATAATCCATAATAACGCTTCCTCCAGTGAAAAAGTGTTCTGGTGTGAATCAGGAGAGAAATCTGCACAGATCAAGCAGCGTTTAAACAGCTCTAAACAAATATGTGGCTGGATTTTGATGTGAGAGACAACAGCAGATGCACTTTTTCACTGGAGGAAGTGTTATTATGGATTATGGACTCAATGTATTTTAGTTAAAAACGTCTTAATGCTGGATTTGTTTCAGCTTTTGTCTTCTCCAGATGTTAACTGATGGACTGGAGTGCTGTGGATTACTTGTGATGTTTTTATCAGCTCTCGTTCTGACGGCACCCATTCACTGCAGAGCAACTGATGCAATGCTACATTTCTCCAAATCTGATGAAGAAACAAACTCATCCTAATCTCGGATGACCCGAAGGTGAGGATATTTTCAGCTAATGTTCATTTTTAGGTGAACTATTCCTTTAACATTTACTATTAAATTGACAAAAAAACCTAATCTACAGCAGGTTTGAACTCACAAGCTGATCTGAGATGTGAGATTTACGTACCGCTCATCTGATCGCTGTCTGATCTCCTCTCTTCTCCGGGCAAACTGCTCATCATCACGGTCAAAACTGAAAATATACAAATGACAGCTAATTCAGAATATTACTGAATACTATATTAGTACATTAACAATGAGTTCCAGTGGTTCACAGTATATTCATGTCGGAATTACTGTAATTACAAGCTTACAAAACTCTAAATTTATCAGCACATTTAAGAAATCCCAGACTTCACGTGACATCAAACTGGCAGCTATTTATCAGAGAAAACATAGGGTTGGGTTAATATTTTGATTAATTATCTGCACATGGATTTATTTCGGGTGTATGAACACCGGCACTAGAAAAAATCATTTCTGAGTCCAAGAACATGAACAACCAGTTAAAAAACCCCTGATAATTACATTAATTCTGTGACCTTTACATCATCGCTGAAACGGAAACACAGAAACTCCAGCCACATGAACTCCCCTTCAATCATAAAAACATAATTCACTCAGAACGAGAACAAAGATTGAAACTATGAACACAACAGCCGTTCTATACATCACAGAACAAAGGATCGTCACATGAAGCTGAATAAGCATTCATAAGAGATAGAAGAAGTGCTTCTGCTTCTGTAAGCAAAGCACGTCTGCGTTTACATCATGAGACGCGTGATTGACACGTGAAGACCTGACAAATGAAATCATCTCTGATTGACAGACAGACGTGTCCTTTACAACCCGACAGACACAAAACCGGCTGCTTTAAAAATGATCTCTTTGGGGAAAAACGCCAATTCTTGCGCTATCCTTAATCAGTGTTGGGCAGTAACTAGTTACTGTAATAATATTACGTTTTGCAGTAACTAGTAGTGTAACTAATCACTAATAAGATTTCAGTAATAATTAGGGCTGGGTTTTGACACAAATTTCACGATTCGATTCTCATTCTCAAGCTTGCGATTCGATTACCAATTATTTTGGATATATATCAGGTACAGTACATGCCAAATTTTCTCAAGGAAAAAACATCTCTCAACTAATGCTGTAAAATATACACGAGATTATTGAAGGTTAAAATTGACTGATTTGTTCAAATTACACAATAAAATTAAAAATTATTGACGTTTTTAAAATAATAAAGTTACAATTACATATTATTTCTACTCGTTTTTTTTTTTTATATAAACATAACGGTGGCTGTCATAAAACCTTGATGGATTTATTCAAAATATCGTTCCGTAAAAATGAGAATCGATTAATATCGAGATATCGATGTTTTTTACCCAGCCCTAATAATAATATTACAGTTACCATCCATAAAACAGCTCGTTACTCAGTTACTTTTGATACCTCAAACCCTACCGATTTGAATCAATAAATCAATAATTCCTAGATTTATTTTCATGATTTTCACGACTCATGAAGTCAGCAGTGTATCAGGAAAGCTTTGAATATGGAAAAGCTTACATTCAGGGGATGGAAGTCAAGAGAACACAGATCTGAACACAGATGTGTAAGTTGTGGCATTACTTTAATCTGGCATTATCCCTGATCCCCATATAAATTATATCACTATAATTAAACATCTTATGCACTCATGTGATTTCTTCTGATAAAATACTTCATGAAATATAATCATATGATTATTATAGCTACAATTAGCTTCAAGCTACACTTGACAATACAACACTTTTACTTAAAAGTCACTATCAATCATTGAGTGTTTGTAAAAAAAACTTCTGACTGCGATCCAATGTAGATTTTGATCAAATGATGAGGCAGAAATATATTGTTAGTAACATTGTAGAAGAATTTTATGGAGAAGAAACGTGAAGGAAAAGTAATGTAACTAGTAGTGTAACTAATTACTGTTGCCAGATAGTAATAAGTAATAATATTACTTTTGAAAGGAGTAACGAGTAATAAATTACATTTTTGGAGTAATGAGCCCAAAACTGTTCTTAATCAATTAATAAATAAATGCCATACCAAAAGCATTTGTGTTTATTAACCCTATAAAGCCTACTGTATCTTATTTGATGCATGAAAATCTTGACTGATTTTTATCAAGTAAACGTCAGAATAACTGCAGTAATATCTCCAGATGAACACTTACTGCACTGAAGCAGCTCAGCTTTACTTGATTCTCCATCAATCATGTTTTAGAGTCTCAAATCTGATCCTCAGGATCTTTTGAGGAGCGTTTGTTTCCAGAAGCTTTACTTTCACTGTTCCTCAGCGGAGGAATGATCTTCACAAGCCTCCAGAACATCTCACATCTTCTGAGGAGCTTCTCTCAATCACTGCATTATATGTTTGGAGCATTTCAATCTCATCTTATTACTGGAGATATAGAGCCACGACTGATATTTAGATCATTTTATGTCAGTATCTGCTCTACTGTTATAAAGATCTCACTGATTTACATCACAAGCAGCAGAATTTCATCATATAAATATCAGCATCTGCACCTAAATTACATATTTTTGCTCAGTTTCAGTCTCTCCATATTCTCACTATACGAGCCATAAAATGTGATTTTTTAAAATAATTTTAAAAAATTTGATTTTTCTGATATGTCCGGCTTTCCAGGGTTCAATGAACCGCTCGGTTTCACAAACTGAGATCTGCCAGGGCTTTAAAGGGTTCATCTTTGAGCACAGAACACATGGTAGCTCTGAGGTGGAAGTGAAAGTTGTGAGTGTGATATGAAGCACTGTGTCTGTGGAGGTCTGACCTGGACGAGCGTCTGCGTTTACAGCAGCAGCAGCAGCAGCAGACGGAGACGGCCAGCAGCAGAGTCCCACACACCACCGCCATCGCGATGATCAGAGCCTCGAAGTTCACTGAAACAACACACAACATCACAACACAACACTGAAGATCAGAGATCCGTGTGTTAGTCACTACTGACACCTGCTGGACGTTTACTGACACCAACTCCGTTCTCATGATTGAGGAGTCCTGCGGTTGTTTTTATTGATATCATGTGAGTGTGAGCACTATAACTGCATCATCTTGATTACATATTATAACACAATCAGGTCTGTTTTGACCTAGAAAAGATCCATAAAAATTTGTTTTTAGTAAGGGAATGAAACTTTGCACATGCTTTAAGGCCCTCAAAATACACATCATTTATTTTTTCTGTTTTTTTACAATTATTTTTAAGAGATTAAAGCAATAAACCCCAAGCGTCGTGCCTAAAACCCCCTTAGCTGTTATAAATTCACGGCTTCACGGGGCTTATTGCTTTTATAAAACGGTTATTCCATATACGTAGTAGGGTTTCACAAAATAAAACAGAGCAAATAAAGTGTAATGATATTAATAAAAACAGTATTCTTCCACCAAACAATGTAGCTCCTCAGAAACAGTTGTGGTTGCCACAAAGTGGTTGCTGAGCAACACACAAACGTAAACAAAGGTGTGTGTTACTTTGTAGAGTAATTTATAACAGCTTAGAACGCGGCTCAGCCAATCAGAATCAAGGACCGGAACTATCTGTTTTATACAATTATTTTTAAGAGAGATAAGCATTTAAAAACATTTTACACATGTCATGTTCGGGTCATTTTGAGCTGGGTATGTATGGAGCACATTAGGTGCCAAAACACTTTTGTAAAAGTATCTACGCTGTAAAATATATTCAGTCTTTTCCTCATATCTCACACACTTGCTGATAAACACAAATATGTACGTCTATTGATGAACCACTGCAGCATGAAAAACTAATTATTGTTTTTGATTACGAAGTAAAATAATTGTTTTTTTGCTTTTTTTTTTACTTTTTTTAGAGTAATATTTATGTTGTTTTGATTGAAATAAATATGCAGGTTTCATAAATTTGGACTGTTTTTGAGCAATCATGAGTTATAAATTTAAAGGAATTTAATTAAATTCCATTCATTCCAATGGGGTTAATAGCAGTAATTCTCAGATTATATTTCTTATAAATTTCATGCATTTATAT